TTTTTAGGAAATAAGAATGTTCTGAGGGTGGGTGTGGTGGCGCACACCTGTAATCCCAGGACTTTGGGAGACTGAGGCAGGCGGATCAATTGAGCCCAGGAGTTCAAGACCAGCCTGGGCAACATGGCAAGACCCCACTGCTGAAAAAAATAAAAATAAAATGTTCTGGAATTAGACAGTGATGATACATGCACAACCTTGTATTTGAGTTAACTAAAACCCACTAAGTTGTTATGGTATGTGAATTATCTCTCACTTAAAAAATGAAAAAAAAATTCAAGGTATGGACCACTGTACTTGGGATACTTGCTGAATACAAGAATGGTCAATAAAATGAGCTAATGGTTTATATTGGATTTTTATCCCCAGAGCAATGTGCAAGTGTATGGAATAGTAAAAGGAATTTAAAAATAAACACAGATAGACTAGAAGATAATTTATACAGTAGTGATGTTAAGTTTTTCACTTGAAACTATGAAAAGTAACAGCTTTGCTTATTTGCATCTATCCAATATCACAAACTTGAGATTCCACACAACAGATGGACACACTTAAAGGAAATATGAATCAAGAGAGAGGTTCGGAGGCACATAGAAACAAATCAAGCCCCTCTACTGAGCTTTCTGAGCTAGTCTGCAAGCCAGGGAAGAAAGCCAATCCCATTATTTAATATATACCTTTAACTGCCACATTTCACAGCAAATACTTTTTGACTCTTTCCAAATACCAACTCCAACTTCCAAGGATGAAAATCTGTCAATCTTAAAGGTATTTCAAAAATAGGTTTGTAATAGCAATGGAAAGCATAACCTCCAAATGAGCTTGCTTAGAAGATAATACTTTTGTGGATGATAATATTGTCCCTGTAAAGGTGGTTTAAAAAAGAATCTGTCGGCCAGGCGCGGTAGCTCATGCCTGTAATCCCAGCACTTCAGGAGGCTGAGGCGGGTGGATCCCGAGGTTAGGAGTTCAAGACCAGCCTGGCCAAGATGCTGAAACCGCGTCTCTACTAAAAATACAAAAAAAAAAAAATAGCTGGGCGTGGTGGCACGCGCCTGTAATCCCAGCTATTTGGGAGGCTGAGGCAGAGAATTTCTTAAACCTGGGAAGTGGAGGGTGCAGTGAGCGGAGATTGCACCACTGCACTCCAGCCTGGGCATAGAGTGAAACTCCGTCTCAAAAAAAAAAAAAAAAAAAAAAAAGAGGCTGGGTGCAGTGGCTCACGCCTGCAATCCCGGCACTTCGGGAGGCCAAGGCGGGTGGATCACGAGGTCAGGAGATCGGGACTATCCTGGCTAACTGGTGAAACCCAGTCTCTGCTAAAAAGACAAAAAATTAGCCGGACGTGGTTGCAGGCGCCTGTAGTCCCAGCTACTCGAGAGGCTGAGGCAGGAGAATGGCGTGAACCCGGGAGGCAAAGGTTGCAGTGAGCTGAGATCGTGCCACCACTGCACTCTAGTCTGGGCGACAGAGCAAGACTCCGTCTCAAAACAAACAAACAAAAAAAGGATTCTGTGTCCTTTTTTTAGAGTTTCACAATGAAATCCTTAACTAAAGGAAACATTCCTCCCCTGGGCTAAGGAAAAAAACGTGTTGCAAACTGCAAGTTGCCTAACAAAAAATCTCCACTTTCTAACATGCATTAGAAAATCCTACAACCTACCTTTGCAAACCTATCGTGTATATCCCTTACACTAATCATGAACTGCAGTTTAAATTGACAAGTCATTGCTGTCCTTCTCCGCTTTTGCTCATGCCATTTATCACGAATGGAATGCCTTTTCCATATTCATTAGAATGAAGCAAAAATCTACCACCTTCAAGAAATCTTCCTTCATCATCTCAGGAGAGATTTATTTCACTTCTAAACACCACTAGCATTTGCTTGTATCATCATATGACACACTATGCCTTGTACAATAACTGATTACATTTTCTCTAAGATTTAAAAGTTCCTTAAGGTTAAGGCAGCTTTCCCAGTAACTTTGTTTGCCCACAGTGCCTGATAAAAGACAGATACTTATTTAAATGAAGTAAACACCTAACTGCCCTTCATCCTAAAAACAGCATGCATACAAACAGCTAGGTGATTAGGCAGGTACTCTGAAGTGGCAAGTTCTATCAGGCAAGCGACTTTGGGAGGCTGAGACAGGAGGAGTTTGAGACCAGCCTGGAAAACATAGCCAAATTCTATCTCTAAAAAAAAATTCAAATAAAAATAAAAGTGGCATCAAATAACCAATTCTCATTATGTAAGAAATTCCAGGCCCCCCTGTGTAGTTCCATAAGGCTAAAAAATGGCATAATTCAAATACTTCCTAGAATTGCTCCAGCTACAAGAACGTTTGAGGAAATTAGGGCAATCTGAAATAACTTTCTGAAAGTCAAAGAGACTCATCTGCCATCCTATTTTTAGCCAAGCTACAGCTAAGCTGAAATCACCACAACTTTCCCCACATTAGGAAGAGCTTCTTGAAAATACGGCAAGGGCAAGGTGCAGCAAAGCAAAAGGTTACATCACATCAGGCGCAGAGAGAGCCTAGATCTTCCTGGAATCTAAACTGATCATCCTAGTCTCAGAGGACTCCTTAATAATCACCTGGCAACCAAATATCCATCTTGATCATAATCACCGTCTGAACCCAGGACTAACTCCAATTCAACTGAACCTAATCATTTAATCACCAACTTCACCACCATCGCCTGCCCCCACACCCTCCAAAAAAGTATTAATAGAAGGGAGAATTTGATTTTGGAAATGACTGAGAATTTTTAATCCAAAGGGCTGTAAATTAAATACCTTTCAGAAACCAAATGACCCTAAAGCATTCATCAGTCAAGAGAATCAAATAGGTTAACTGTTTAGAACCAATTCCACTAAAAGAGGAATTACTACATCGGGAAGTAAACAAGTTACCTTTTAAATTGTGTAAGCATCACTGCCAGTCCTTTTAAATATAGAAAGTTCTTAACACTACAATTAATTTACTTAGAACTCTCCTCTTAAAGAACAAAATTACATATAATAAAAGAGAAAATATAAGGCCCCATTGATTTTAGTTGGGAGACTACGAATATGTTACTGCTCAGATTAAAATATTGCTCTGCACTCTGGACTCTGTAATCTTCTGAACTTTACTACCTTTAAAGTGGAAATTTGGACTTAAAAGTATGCTTAAAGAAATTTGATCACCAGATTAAAATCTGCCTTCAAAAAGTGAATCAAAATTTTGATATTCCATTGAGATATTTACAGAAATAATTTGTCAGTCATAATTTTAAGAATTAAAAACACGGCCGGGCACGGTGGCTCACACTTTGGGAATCTCAGCACTTTGGGAAGCCGAGGCGAGCGGATCAGGAGGTCAGGAGTTCGAGACCAGCCTGGCCAATATGGGGGAAACCCCGTCTCTACTAAAAATTAGCTGGGCGTGGTGGCGCACGCCTGTAGTCCCAGCTACTCGGGAGGCTTAGGTAGAAGAACCCCTTGAACCTGGAAGGCGGAGGTTGCAGTGTGCCGAGATGGCGCAACTGCACTCCAGCCAGGGCAACAGAGCGAAACTCCGTCTCAAAAAAACAAACAAACAAAAAAGAACAACAACAACAAAAACACACCTTGTCAAGCAGCAGTAACTAATCACTAACTAGCAATTACTGATAAAATGGGGTCCCGAGGCAGGAGGCCAGGATTAAAAGCAAAGAGAATTAGAATAAGACACACTAATTAAAATCATCTAAACTAAAGCAACATGGAACTTAGAAAATCTACAGGACAGGACTACATTATAAATTTAAAAATCTTTCAGACTAAAAAGCCCTGCTGAAAAAACCAATCACTAACAAATGTGAAACATACAAGAACCAAAAATTATTCAAAACAATTCCAGCATTTGATACTAACCCACAATTCTGAAAACGCAATTTCATGCTTCTCAAAACCTGCTATATGCTCTCTTCTATGATAGTACGAAATAACAAATAATTCAAAAAGTACTTAAACCGACGTGACATTTTAGTAAAAGTATAATAGGTTTGAAAGAATAAAACAAGTAGAGATAGAGCAGAGTACAGGATAACTGAGAGCCAAAAGGCTGTTTCCTGGAGGGCAGCACTGGTCTTGGATTGGCAGAAGGGGATTTTTAAAATATATTCATGAGATAAATTATACCAAAAAAATGACTCATGCCTTTATTATTTGCACAAGCATATGTTTGAAAATGCACTTTTAACCTTTGGACAACCAAAGTGGTATCACATACCTTAAAGCATTGTTGCCTATATTAATTTTGGTGTTAAAGTCTAAATCCTTAACGAAACTCACGCTATACATTTTCGTAATGAAACCCTGTAGAAATGGAAAGGCGTATATTCTTCAAGTAAAGGTTACCTGATTTTTCACTTGTTTAAAGTTTCAGTTTTGCTTTTCAATCTATTATCGAAAACACCCCTTGTGGGACACTGTAAAGGGCAGACCCTCCTGTCAAGCCAGAAGGCTCAAACACAAAGACATTGAGCTAACCAAGTGCTGTAATTCTTCCAAACTGAGCCTCTCCACACCCCCTCCACCCTTCCCCCCAACAGATATGTCTATTAAATCAGTGTCTGTTCTCCCCCTCGCACAACAAAGAGAACTTCTCACCGCATGAAATTGCCGCTGAATGGACACCAGAAAGCAGGATTTGCATAATTCCTTCCAACGAAACCCTGTCGGGAAGGAGGGGATGAGGGGCCCAAGCGAACGGATAGATTCTCCTACATTCTGCCGGGAAGACCTGGTTCCCAAGAATATTCCCCTGGGGGAGACAGGGCTGGAATTCTGGGCCTCCCCGAGGACTGGGCGTGGGGGACAGCGGACGACGAGAGGGCATCTCCCCACACACCAGCAGCACCGAAGCAAAGACGGGGAAGTAACAATGCTGGAGGACAGGAGAGTCAGACACAAGGATGAACTGGGGCTACGGGGCGGCGGGCGGAGCGGAGACACCACACGGGCCACTTACTTTTTGGAGGGGGGTTAAATATATGAGTTAAGCCCTTATGGTCCCGCCGGCCGCCGCACAGAGGGAAACGGGACCTTGGGAGAGAAAAACAGACAAAACACATAGTGTGAGAGGCGCAGCTCCGCCGCCCGGCCCCTCCCGGGGCGCCCCCGTCCGCGCTCCCTCCGGCCCGCAGGGAAAAAGCCACCCGAGGGCGGCCCAAGGTCCAGGAGGCGGGGGGCGGACGGGGCATTCGGGCGAGGCTGCGGCTCCGGCCAATCCCCCGGAGGGGACGAGAGCGACCCCCGCCGAGGCTCCTCGGTCGGACCCAGTCCCACCCCCTCCTCCCCGCGGCACGACACCGAACACAAATACGCACACACCGACCCGTGCGTCGAGGATTAACTCCCCGGCCGCCGCCGCCCGCTGAGGAAGTGCAGCCGCTGCCCCCCGCGGCCATGACACCCCACTTGGCTCGGTCAGGCGCACCCGGGGACTGTGACAGCTCCAGCTCCCTCCGCCCCCATCTCCACCTCACGCTT